CATGGGGAAGTTCTCAGTCTTACCTCAACTATACATCATATGTTGATGATGATCATGGGAGACCTGCCCTTTCCTAAACAGAAATGGAGGAGTGGATTCAAGGGTGAGAACAGAGGGATTGGGGAGGAGTGACTGGGAAGAGTGGTGGGAACTGCAGCTGGGAAGTAACATAAACAAACAAACAAATAAATAAATAAATGTATATTTAAAAAGAATAAGAGAAGGAGCCCAGCTATAACAGTGAAAAGATTCATTCAAGACTTCGTGAGCTTTTAGGATAAGAATTATTGGTATTTATAATAAATGAGAAAGTAGAATGCAGAAGGAACACCCAGTTCTCTTAAGCATGCACACATTTTATTTCTCTTCTTCTGTTCTCAGAATCAGTTGAGATTTTCAGTGCACCCCAGAACATGCCTAAACCCAACACAGTTGAACAAAGAGAATTTAAAGTCATAACACTGGAAACAGAGGCTCCAGGTTTTGTCACAGTAAGGCAGGGGACCTGGGTGGACATTTAGTTGCTTGGGAACATATAGTTATCTTGAGGAAATTTTGATCATCAGTAATCTCTGTAACTTCTTTGTCCACAACCACAGCCTCAGAGATCCAGGATCACACAGTGGAGAATCTCATCAGGATGGGGTTTGCTGTCATGATCCTCATAGTCCTTGGGATTCTGGTAATTGAGGCTTGGGGCAGCCAGAAGCAGGCCCAACGTGCAGCTGAGAAGTAATCAGAGAAGAAAGAAGTATACCTCACGTTTCCAGAGTCTGGGAAATAAATGTGACAATCCCAAGAATTCTGTAAGAAAATCCAGTTCTTACACTGAGGAACTGGAGAGAGAATGTCCATGGAGAAAATGTGTTTTGGGTGCAGAGTTAACCTTGGGTGTGATGAGATCCTTCCTCAGCAAATGAGTTTACATCCCCACACCTATTGTGGGTGTTTGATGACTGAACCAACTCCTTTATTGATCTATATAGTGAGGGAATATCCTGTCCCATCTGCCTGGCTTAGCTCCTCATTCTGGACATTTTTCTTCTCCCACTCCCTATGTGTCATTTTAATAAATTGTCACATTCTCT